AGCGAGGACCAGGGAGGGGGTCAGGACGGCAGGAGGAAAGAGTTCATGATGGGAAGCAGAGGGTGGGCAGAATTCCTGTCTTCACTGAGTTTCTCTGCCAGCACACGGCAAAGTCAAAACGTCCTTACCAGCATGGTAATAACCGATGGTGTTTATTTTGTGTTTTTCTAGATCAACGAACTGAGCCATGTTCAAATCCCTGTCATGTTGATGCCTGATGACTTCAAAGCCTACTCAAAGATAAAGGTGGACAATCACCTTTTTAACAAGTAAGTACCAGTCAGCCTCTCCGGAGACTACCATACCAGTCAGCCTCTCCGGAGACTACCATGGCTGTGCAGAATAGGACTTTTTGTGACTTTCTGTAATCACATAATTTTTTCAATGGGTGGGAGGAAAGTTTTGCTGATGAAGTTAATCCTGTGATAAACATAGCCATCTGTCATTTTCAGAGAAGTAACAGCAGGCCCTCTGGGATAATATCCCTTTGCCATATGGCATATTGTTCCCTGAGAGTATCTTATACATTAGAAGTGATATCCTCATTACTATTTAAATTTTTGGAGCTGTAAATTACTTGGATTGTTTGAGCAGTTATGGACTTCTGCTCTAGTACACAAAACTTAGAAAATAGTGGCTTTATGAATAGAAATGACTACATTATAACACAGTAAATAATTGTGTTATCCTACGATATAACTGGATGTCATGTTTGGATGTTGCTAATGTTCATCATGTAACTGGGGTACCTTTGATGTCATTATGGAAAGCCGATGACATATTAGGTAGTTCATCCAAAAGCTAGAGATGCAACATGGCCCTTCCTCAAAGGTCTCACAGCCAGAACAGTAGCTGGAAATTGACACATGCACAAATTGCTGTCGTTTTTTATACAAAGAATAGTAATAGAGGGGTGTACACAGTTTGTATTTGTTGTTCTGTGGGAGCATGAAGGAGAGGTAATTCTGTGTGAGTGGGGAGAGCCCAAGATTAGCCTCCCAGATCAGGGCAAGTGTAGGGTTTCTTTCCTCCCTTGCTCTTTGGTGTAGTATTAGGAATTGAACCCAGGGACTCACACATGCTAGGTGAGTGCTCTACCACTGAGCTATGCCGCAGCCCTTCACACAAGGTCTTAACCAGGCTGTTGTTCCGTTGCGAGCATATGAGTTCATTTCTCCCCATAACACTGTTGAGAGGTTGAGTGTTCATGAGGGTGTAAAGTGAGAACATGGCTGCCCAGAGGTATGGCTGAGGGGAAGGTTTTCATTGTAGCTATGAGGGAGAAGGCGGCCGGGGGCATCTGGAAGAGTCTAGACAGGGAGAGAACTGTGCCATTGAGGAGAGAGAGGGAGGAAAGAGAGAGAGAGGCAAAAGAGGACCGAGAGAGGGGTGAGGGGTCAAGAGAGCGCATGGCCAAGATGGCAGGATGATATGGAAATGGAAAACTGGGGAAGGAAAGTCCATGAGCTGGAGAGGGTTAGGGTAGGGGTGGGGTGAGAAGAGATGCCAGGAGCCACCAGTACCAGTGCCGAGTGAGCCTGGAGGCCAGTGTGGGCTTTGGTATGCTAATAATTGGCACAGTTGGCCATTGGTCCTGAGTTTCTTTTGGACCTGACTGTGAGGAAATGTTCTCAGGGTGAATTTGGAATGTGGGTCTTGGGTGTGAGGCAAGCCTTGTTTACAGCTGCTTCCTCATTAAGATGGGCATGGCGTACTCTTTCTCACTGCCATCTTGTCTACTCTTCTTTTACTACATCTGTCCATCCTGCCACACACACACCCATCCCTTCTCCTTAGAGAATGGTTGGTGTGTGCATCCAGGATGAAGGGGTAACACAGTCCCAGTGTGAGGCAGACAGTGTTTTCAGTCTGTCCCCTCTGTCAGTCAGATTTCGTTGGCTTGCACCCGGTTCTGTAGAATCCATCTGTGCTTGCTGTGGGCAGTGAACTCTCGCCCCTCACCGCTACACACAGATCCAAATAGGGCCTTGTGAAGCCTGCTAACCTCCTGTCTGTCTGAGCCTCATTCCGCAATGTGACCGTTGCAGGGAAAACATGCCGAGCCATTTCAAATTTAAGGAATACTGCCCAATGGTCTTCCGGAATCTTCGGGAGAGGTTCGGAATCGACGACCAAGATTTCCAGGTGAGCTGCTTTTGTGAAACGGGATTGCTCTGTCAGATAGGGGTCATGTTTCGTCCTTACAAGTATACTATGCATGCACAGTTTTAGTGTTCTTTCTGAAGTTATGCATTCTCAAAGTTAAGGGCTTTGCATGGTTTGATTTCAGTGAAATGTCTATAGGAAAAGGCATGGATTTTTTGTGGAAGGAGACAGAGCACTTGAGAGTTCTGTGAACACTCACTTCTAGATACAAGTTACTGTCAGCCACACTGCCTTCTGCTTCCTAGGGTCAGGTGTGTCGTGAGCCCCTGCGAGTGTTTATGTGTGTGTGTTAAATTCGTGGTTTTCTATTTTGGCAGAGGACACTCGGGAATCTCGGGGATTGTGTTCTTGCGAATTTGCTGGGTTGCAAGTTGGCAGACTCTGTCTCCTGCCACAGCATCCTCGTCAGGCTGTGCTGTGTGTCTCACGGTGCTGTGTTGCAGAGTGGCCACAGTCCTCTCATCCCCTGTAGGAACCTCCCAGACTGCCGGTAGTCCTCGTGCCCTCCTTTTCGCTTACTACGAAGCAACAGGCTCTTGCTTCTGTCCCTGCACCTGCATGCTCTCGGTTTTGACTTTGAAATGTGATAGAACTTTTTAAATATCTGCTGCTACCTGATCAGTTTCCTAAAAGAAGGCCTGATGCTTTATACTCTCCTGTTGCTGTGATAAAATACCATGTCCAGCCGGGTGGTCGTGGCGCATGCCTTTAATCCCAGCACTCAGGAGGCAGAGCCAGGTGGATCTCTGTGAGTTCAAGGCCAGCCTGGTCTACAGAGCGAGATCCAGGACAGGCCTCAAAGCTACACAGAGAAAACCTGTATATATATATATGAAAGAAAATGTTAAATGTTTATTTGGGGCTTATAGTTTCAGAAGGTGAGTCCATGACCATCATGGCAGCAGGCAGGCATGCATGGTGCTGGAGCAGTAGGTGAGAGATCACATCTTGAGACACAAGCCTGAAGCCAAGGGAGCTAACTGGAAATGGAATGGGCTTTTGAAACCTCAAAGCCCGACGCTCTAGACACGCCTCCTCCTGATCTTTCTCAAACAGTTCTACCAACTTCAACCAAATATTCAAATACATGAGCCTGTGGGGGTCGTTCTCATTTCAAACCTCTACATCTGCCTCCCCGGGCTTCACATGGACAGCGGAGCCACAAGTACTAAGGGTTTTGTTTGTTTGTTTGTTTTAGGGCAGAAATCTAAGTTCTAACCTGTTTCAAGCCTTCTCAAATGAATAAACATTTTCTCAAACTTGCCCTAAATTTAAAACGTTCATCAAGTGCCACATTGTCACCCCAGGTGACCTTACGAGGGCAGCTTGCTCTGTGGTTTCTCCTGAATACGGTCACTCGGGCAAGCTGTGCTTGCCTAACCCACCTTCCTAAACATTAGGCCCTCACGCCCCTCCCACCTTTGTTAAATGTTTCCAAGAATTCCTGCCAGGCTTCATTGTAGCAGGCTTTCTTTTTCTTCTTTTTTTCATCTATTTATTTTACATCCCGGCCACAGCACCTCCCCCCCCTCCTCCCCTCCCAGTCCCTCTCCCTCATTCCTCCCCTCCCACCACCCCTCCTCTTCTGTCTTCACCCAGGAAAGAGACAGGTATCCCATGAGTATCAGTAATACGTGGCATATCTAGTTGCGGTAAGACTAGTAAGCACCTCCCATGTATTAAGATTGGGCAAGGTGACCCAGTATGAGAAGTAGGGTGCCCACAGCCAGTAAAGGAGTTGGAGACAATCCCTGTTCCCATTTTCAGAGTTGCATAAGACGTCCAAGCTACACAACTGTAACATACATGCCGAGTGCCTAGGTCAGTCCCATGCAGGCTCCCTGGTTGTCCGTTCGGTCTCTGTGAGCCTCTATGAGCACAGGTTATTGATTGTGTGAGCCTTCCTGTGGTGTCCTCGACCCCTCTGGCTCCTACACTCCTTTCTCCTCCTCTTCAGGATTCCCAAACTCCACCTAATGTTTGGCTGTGGGTCTCTGTAGCAGGGTTTCTTTTGGGCTTCCAACCAGCTCCCAAATCATGACACCAAGACTTATTATTAGTTGTGAATGCCTGGCCTTGGCTTAGGCTCATTTCTTGCTAGCTTTTATGACTTAATATAACCTGTTTCTCTTCATCTATGTTTTAACCCTGGGGCTTTTTACCTTTCATTCTGCATGTCCTGATCTGTGTCTGGCTACCTGGCAACTGGCTGGCCCCAGGCATCTCCCTGTCTTTTTTTCCTTGTTCTCTCTTGTCTTGAACCTGGATCCTCCTCCTACTTATTCTCCCTGCCCTCCAGCTCTGCCTCTCTCTCTCTCCTGCCTAGCTATTGGCTGTTCAGCTTTTTACAAGACCAATCAGGTGCCTTAGGAAGGCAAGGTGAAACAGATGCAACACATCTTTACAGAGTTAAACAAATGTAACACACCTTTACATAGTTAAAGTACTAGTATTTCCTCAACATAAACAAAGGTAACACATCTTTACCTAGTTAAAATAGTATTCCACAGCACATCACTAGGCATGAGACCTTATTATGCTTTGAAAAAGCAGTACTGCCCAGGTAGCCATTGTTCAGTGGGGTCCTGGGCTCCACAAAGGGCTCGGTTCTGAGCTGAAGTTCTGGGCACCAAAGGAAGACCCGCGGGTGGAGGATGCAACATGCAGAATCTAGTTATTCCTTTTCTTAAACAGCTCTGACGTCAGCACTCAGGTTTGGACTTCATTCATAAAACAAACTTAGATCACAATCATGGGCACAGTGTTTATGGTTTAAAGAGTGACTTTTACAGAATAAATACTAGAGTTTTTTTTTTAAAAAAGGTTTGTGTGAAATAAAAAGGGATAATTTCATATGGCTTGGAAACTGTTATTGCATTTAAACAGGCCACGGATTCTTTGGCATCTTAAAGAACTCCCTGCCTAATTCTGGAGCCAAACATGATTGTGTCCCTCCTGTATCCCACCTGTCCTCACTTTAATTAGGAAATAGGTAGGGGCTGGTGAGGCTGCTCCATCACCAGAGTACCCGCTACACAAGTGTGAGGACCTGAGTTTGGATCCTCATGTAAAAGCCTGACTAGCGGGTGGAGACAGGCAGATCTCTGGAGCTCACTGGCCAGCCAATCCAGTTCTTCGATGGGCTGTGGGTTCAGTGAGAGACCTGTCACAAAACATGCCGTAGAAAGCAGTAGAGGAAGATCCCTATGTCACCTCCAAACACATGCATCTACACGTGCATGTTCCCGTATGCACATACTGCATGCATACAGCACACACAATGAACAGCAATGATAATTATAATAATAGTTGCATTGGCATTTTACAGAAACTGAGTTTTGAGGGCTCCACCACAGAATCTTCATGTGTTCCTTGATTCATTGCAGAATTGAAATCTTTACATTTTTCCTCATCAGTTCTGTCGAAGAGACTGAAAATGATCCCATTATATTCTGAGTTCTGTGTTGTGACAGAGAAAAATAGTTTTTAAAATTTCCTAAAATCACAGTTTTGTTGCTGAAATACTAAGGCACCACTCTGTCCCCCTAAAAAAACACCACCATATAAGTTGATTTTTAAATATGTGCAAATCGCTGAATTTAGACTTTGAAAGGAAATGAGGCAGGTGGAGAGTGATTCAAGAGTAACTAATTGGCGGGTCTGCTGGACAGTGAGCGTGAGAGACCGGGGGGTGGGGGGGGGTGCTGTAAGTGTAATTAATCGTCATAACACCTCTCCTCTCTGCCTGCTGCTTCAGGCATGGAAATTGACGCTTTCTCCTTGACAACTGTATTTCTATTTAAAATGTTTTCCAGTGAGGGTTCAGAGTGCCTTCAGTAAACCACGGTGGACTTTTCTCTCCTCTCCAAGCCTTCCTTCTTTCCCCAGAGCCCTTATTTCCCATAGACTCTTCAGCAGACTGGGGTGTAGCTTAGTGGTAGAGCACTTGCCTAGCATGCACAGATCTGTGGACTCCACCCCCAACACTGGAAAAGAATTTTTCAGCAGGACAGTACCCCAAGTCTGAGCTGAAGACGAGATAATAAAATGAGGCTGAGTCCAGTTTGTTGGCCGAATGGTCTGGTATACAGGACAGCAGTTATAATGCCCAGGTTCTCTGGTTGTACCTGGTGGACCCAGGGAAGTCCATCAGCTCAGCTACCCCCCAGCCTGCGAAGCAGGAGACACTGGTTGGCACAGGAGCACCATCTAGTCATGCATTTGCTGGGCAGCCTCCTGCCCTCCTGGGTGCGGCCTGGTTACAGACGAGTTTCTAAACAGTCTTATTAAATAAGAAACACAGAGACAAATGCAGAGGTAAAAGCCAAAGAGATCAGAGCAATAGCCGCCAACTAACCTTAGCTTATCACATCACCACGGCCCAAAAAAAAGACCCTCCCCCTCTAAAACCCGACACTGTGGCCCTGCGCTGCTCCCCCCTCACAGGCGCTCTAAACACAAACACCACACCCCCACCACACCCCATCTATATATACACACCCACAGCTCTATAGGGGGGATACGGAGAAAAAACATGTGTCACAACACGCGGCGCTGTGCCCGACAACACACAGACACTCCCCCCCACATGAGAACAGAAAAAGGCTGTGCGACAACACCCCCACACTTCTGTATAGCGCGCGATAACACCTCAAATCCACACAAAAGCTTTTTATAAAAACACAAAAAAAAAACCACATTTCAGCACAAATAAACTATCACCACACCTGGTGAACACCGTGTGTTGAAAGGTGACATCTAAACTGTAGTTAGAGTATGTGGTTAGCATCTATGACACCTTGTTCCCATTCCTTGTACCAAAAACAAAGAGGAAAATAAAAGATGGAATCTTTTTCTGATATTAGCCCATTCACGGGAGCCTGGAGTTACCCTTCCAGTGTGACGGAGAAAGCTGGGCCAGAAAACTAGGCTCCTGTCACCCTTCAGAGGCCCTGGCCTGCTAGTGGGAAGCGGCTGTTGTCCCACTGTGTGTGTTTTCTGAAGTGCTTGTGTTTCAGACAGGTGGCCTTGAATCCATGATAAGGACCAGGATCGTCTGATTCATTTTGTATTTGGGCCTTTCGGCTAACTCAAATGGATACCCGTCTCACCTTGATTCCTCAGCGTTGTTTACTGGAGGCCACTTTAAAGTAGCAGAGGGTCATTAGCCAGCCTCGCTGAGCTCTGTCTGTGAACTTGAACATCTGAATGAAGCTGAAAATCTCTCCGCACAGCCAGTGAACACTTGGGTCTTTGCTCTGGTTTTGATTGCATGGGCCTAAGTTTGGGGGTTTTTTATGTTGTGTTGTTTTTTCCTTGCTGTAAAGACAAAACAACAGTTCCATTATGGGATATTTATCACTAATTAACAGTACCATCCGTGATGGTCACTATGACAGAATACCTGAGAGAAATCACTTTAAAAGGAGGAGGGCTTACCTGGGCTTGTGGTTTCAGAAGTTATAAACCCATGATGCTTCGGGCCTGGGGGAAAACAGAGCCTTAAAGTTACAGAAGCCTGTGGTAGAGAAAACTGCTGGCCTCATGACAGCCAGGAAGCAGAGAGAGGAGGAGGAGAGACTGGAGGAGGAAGAGAGAGCAGAGGAGGGAGGGAGAAGGAAGGAGCCCTTCAAAGGCACACCACTAATGGCCTTTCAGGAACTAGGTCCAGCCTCCTAGCTTCTGTCCCCACCCAGTAATGCCATCGGATTATGAATCCATCAATGGATTAATCCACCCCTTAGCTTAGAACTCACACAGTGCCATCAGCCTCCAGGAGGTCCACCCGCTGGGGGCCAAGCCTTCAACACATGAGCCCTCCTGGGCTATTTCACAGCCAAAGCCCACAGCCACCTAACATACATAGGCAAACTGTGTGTGTGTGTGTGTGTGTGTGTGTGTGTGTGTGTGTGTGTGTGTATATGTGTATACGAGTGCCTGGTGATTTTAGATTCAATCTGACTGCAGTACCTTAGTATGCTTTTAATTATATGATCGGTTTGTGATATGCTCAGACTGAGTCACAGTTTTCTGAATATCATAGGTTCATGCTGTCTCTGCTTTCTTTCTAGATGCTTCTTAAAGATGACAACTACCTTTTCTATATTTCTAATACCTCAAGCCCTGGCCTCTTTCTTTCTGATTTCACTCAAGCTAATTGACTCTGCATGTATCTGTCTGTGCTGCTGTATTTCAGATTCTGTGCTAAGCATTCCAGACATCTTCCCTACATCTGAAATGCTGGGACTGTAATCATGTGCCATCATGCACAGTTTTATGCACTCAGGATGGAACCCAGAGCTTCATGCATGTTAGGCAAGCACTCTACCAACTGAGCTACAGCCTCATATTTGATGCCCAGGCCTGGACATTCTTGGAAAAGAGTAAACAGTCAAAAGATGTTCAGTTAGCTCTGGGAAAATCTGCAGCTTTCTTGCTGGCCTTGTGGGATATTGGGACCTCTCAGACAGTCGTAGGAAGTCCGGTGGAGGCTTCAGTTTGCTTGGGAGCTTTCAGAGAGGATTGCCCACCAAAACCAAGAGTTGCACAGGATGGAGCCCGCACTGTTCATCCTAAATACAGGGCGCAGTTGAAGCCGAGCCCTCTTGTTCATTGTGTTGGATAATACCAGGTTTTGTTTTCCCCACTGCGCCTCCTGATTTAGAATCCCTCATTATTCACGTTTGATGCCCTTTCTTCTTTGTATCTGTAACAGAGAATTCTAATTTTAAAAATAATTCATTTTAAAGGCTAACATTTTAAACTTCTGATGTTCTTGTTTTAAGTTTCAAGCTCTAAGTTGAACTCCCCAGTTCACTAAACCTAGGGAGTGGGGGATTCCACCAATACATCTGGGATGTCAACTCTGTTGAAAGAAGATGTTTGATGTTTTCAGTATAGATTTCTCAAGCTGACGTAAAGCTATAGGAAGGAAAGAAATATAGTCTTGATTACTGCTTACCTTTCCAGGGTTCACTGGAGAGCTCTGGAAGAAAGAGAGAGAGACAGGGGTATTCATGCAGTTCAAAACACCTGGGTAGAGAGGGAACTGTGGGAGACACAGAGGGGGAAATAACCAGACACACAAGGAGAGTATAGCAACAGTTCTGAATACCTCACCCTTATTCTGCATCTAGCAAACAGTCCTGTGGATTTTGTGCAGGGAGAAGAAATATTACAAAGTCTGTGTGTGTGTGTGTGTGTGTGTGTGTGTGTGTGTGTGTGTGTGTGTGTGTGTGTGGTTTAAATGTATGTATGTATGTTTGCATGTGTGCATACATGCAGAAGCCAGAAACCAATGTCTGGTATCTTTCTTAATTGATACCAACTTTATGCAGGGTCTCTCACTGAATCTCAAGCTCACTGGTTGCCCTGGAAACCTTATCTCTACCTTTTGAGTGCTGAGACCATACTGGGCTATCACACCCATCTGTTAGACCCTAACTTAGATGGCAAATACTTTATCCACCGAGCCATCTCCCAGCCTCTGGAACCTGAGGGTGGGGTGGTAAATAATTTTTCAAAGATTTGCTTTTGTTTATGTGTAGTTATATATGCCACGTGAGTGTAGGTATCCATGAAGGCCAAAAGAGGGCATCAGATGCCTGAAAATTGAGTTTCTGACCTGTGGCTTTGGAGAAGACCAGGAAGTGTCCACAAGAGACTGTTGACCCCTGAGTTGAGTGCCCTCGGTGGTACTCAGGAGGAGTCAGGAGAAGAGGCCCAGCTCCGGGAAGCATGGGCACCAGAGTCCTTGTAGGACGCTTCTAGGAGTCTGTCAAGAGACAGACATACTGATGGCCCCCCACCTGAGGGGCTTACGGTACGGTTTCAACTCTTGCCTCTTCATTTCTGGGTGGTTGGGTTTGTCCAGCTGGCTCTCGAAGTTTGTTCTCACAAGATAATCACATTCTACATCACAAGGGGCCCTGGATGGTGACTCCATCCTGTGCAGGAGGCACTTGGGCTAAAAGACACAGGTGTTCTGTCTCAGGTCCTCAGCACTGTGAGAGAGCAGGATGCACCCCACTGCCAATCCGCATCCAGTTTCTGCCATGGTTTTCTCTCCTCTTGACTGAGAAGTCAGCCTCCCTGTCACAGCCCACCCCACCCCCAATCCCACCATCTAGCCCAGACTTCCTGCTGGCCTGTGCTTCCCTTCTTTGAACCTGTTTGGGCTGCACCTCACTGTGTGTAGTCCAGGCTAATTATTAGTCAGAAGTCCTCAGTCCTGGGTGCGAGGTAAACACAGTGTTTGCTTTTCATGAGCCTTGGGGACTGGTGTCTGGTATTTCTGTCTCCAAAGTCAAGTGCCACCCTGAGAGTTTAATATGCTGTTCTCAGAATGCTCTGTGGAGCTCCTGCACTTTTACATTGCTGTCTTTCTCTATTCTGATAGTTGTTTTATTATTGATAAGCTTTAAATGTGTTTTTGCTCCCCTTTAAAGTGAAAGCCAATCTGTGTTTAGGATCCCAGCTCAGACTTTTCTTTGAAACTCCCTAAGAGCTTAACCCAGGGCTTTGAACACAGTACGCATTTAATGACTCCTTGATGGTGTTCAAGCTAGCATGTTGGTCTTCAACTGTCTGACGATGTCAAAAGACCACCTCACCTGTACTTGCTCCCCTATGTCCAAGGTGAACCCAGAATATCACCTTTCTGGGCCATGATCACACTTCCCTCCTGGGCTATGTGATTTGAGGCACGTAGTCATAATCCTGAGCTGTCAGCAGGATTGAGATTGGTTTCCAGGCTTCAGGTCCATGAAATGGGTAGCCTGCATTGGGGAAAGAACATTTCCTGGGAATTGGTAGATCTGGATGAGCCCTGGGTCTTCAGTGACTGATACCATGACCCGACATGGTGGGTCTCAGTTTTTGTCTGTGAAATGAGGGAGGATGAGGCGCTTTCCAGATTCTCTCAGCAGAGCTCAAGAATCTCAGAATCCATTACTAAGTCATTCGAGTACGGACTTTAAGTTTTGTCGGGGTTTGAAGCTGGAATGCCCCCCCCATCCCACTCCCTGAGCACGTTCACCACCCCCCACTATCCCTCCTCACACCCCCCACCCCTCTCCACTGCTGGCTCATGTTTTGAGGGCTTGTCCCAGCCATGTGGAGATGCTGTCTGGGAGGCCTTGAACCTGCGTGAGGTGGGACTCTAGCAGAAGTTGGTCCCTGGAGTAGAGCTTTTTCCAGCTTCACTCTGCCTCCTGTCGGTCACATCCCCCACCACTCTCTCCCGCTGCCACGATGTCCTGTGACCAAGCCACCATCGACCCAGCACTCCTCAGCCACGAACCCAAATTAACCCTTCCTGCTTAAGTCGTTTCCGTCAGGTGTTTTGGTCACAGTGACCTAAAATGTAACTAATACAGGTTCTTGTACATCATATTGATAGATTCTCCTAGGCTTTCAGGATTCATTTTTAAAGTGTTCTTCCTTTTGAGTAACAACATTAAAAAAACGTTTCATGTGTGACTTTTAAAATTGGACATTTATTTATTTTGTGTGTGTGTGTGGGGGGGTGCTGAGGTGCCACAGCACACAAATGGAAGTCAGGACAGCTTTACAGTTCTTTATTCCACCATGTGGATCCTGGGGATCCAGCTCAGGTCATCGGTCAGGCTTGGTGGTGGCAAGCAAGCACCTTTACCACTGAGCCACCTTGCTTCACATGTGACTTTTACTAAAATGTGTACGCTACAAGTAATGAGGAAAAGTACAAAAATATATGCAAATATGATATTAGGTCAAGAGAATTAAGTGTGAAAATGCTTGGGATTTTTTTTTAAAGGTACTGGGGGAAGTAACAGTTACTAAAGCAGGGTGTTTTATGAGAACTATAAAGGATTGGTGATTGGATTGCGCTAATGAAATTGACCTTTATGATTTCTCTTCCTTCTGGAGGCTCCACTAATCCTGGACCTCCCACTGTGGAAGTAAACATCTTCAGTGCCCCCTGTTAGAGGAGGAGGGTGGGAAGGCCAGCACCTTTAATCCTTTTCTGAAGGGAAAGGATGGTAAATTTCCAATTATAAATGCAAGAAAGCCAAGGAAGAGGGAACTTGGCTCATTATCTTGCTTTATTTCCTGTTGAGGGCCGCTGGAGAACCAGAGCTTCAAACACAGCTCTTGAGGTTGAGACAGGATATCAGCTATCACAAGATCAGAAACGTATCTGTGGAAAAGTGAGCTTACATACCAGATTGTACGATTGGTTTGAAAAGGGACGAGATCATTAAGGAGTCTTGTCTACACAGCACAATCAGCTTTGTCTTAGAACTTCAATTTGAGTCCAAGTGTCCATTTTACCCTTAGCTCCCCAGCAAGCCCAGGAGCAGCCTTAGAAGCAACATCTGGCGCCTGTGATGTGTTCCCTGCAATCATGGCCAGGCACTGAAATGAGTAGAGGTCACCTATAGTGTCCCCTTGCTCAGCCTGAGTCAGCATGGGTCTGCAGCTTGCAAAACTGTGCAGTCAGTGGCCTCATGCAGTGATACCTGCGTTTCTGAGCATTGGAAAAAATGTGTGGGACAATTGCAACACGTTTGTACTGTGTGAAATGTCCAGAACAGGCAAATCTACCACGACAAGAAGTTCTCAGATGAGAGACAGGAAAGAAAGCGGAAACAGGTACAGACGGCTAAAAATCCTCTAAAAGGGATGTGACTGGAGCCGCATGGCTGTGTGTGTAAACACCAACCCTTCTGAGTCGTGTGCTTTAGGTTAATGGTCTGATCTGTGAGTTGTATCTAAGTAAAACTACTGAAAAGGAGTATTTAGGGGCTGGCAGGAGGGCTCAGTGGATAAAGGCACCTGGTGCCAAGCCTGGTGATCTAAGTTCAATTCCCAAAACCCACATGATGGAAGAGAACAATTATAAGTGATCCTCAGACTCTTACACAGGATCACACATATACGTGCACGAGGAAATTATAGGTTTACATAAAAAACAGAAATGTTTAGGGGCACAGGAAGTGTGGCTCAGCAGGCGTAGTGTTTGCCGTGAAGACATGAGGACCAGAGTTCAGATCCCAAGCACCCACGTAACATACTCCAGTTATCCAAGGGCTGGAGAGGAAGACATAGGAGGCTTCTGGGGGCCAGCTGGCCAGCCAGCCTCGCTGAATTGGTGAGCTCCAGGTTCAAAGAAAGACTGTCTCTAAAAAAAAAAAAAAACCCAGACATCCAATGTTAACTTCTGGCCTACATACATGTATGCACACATGCATATACACATTCACATTCAGGCATACACATACACACAAATAAAATTGATTTCTTTTTGAAAATAAACTCAAGAGTTTGAAATTATTTTATATTTAATATGAGACTTTTTCTCAATATTGATTTTTGTCTCCCCTTTTCTTGGGACAAGTTAGAAGAACATATCTACTTCTGACAACTTTTAAAGAATGATAGAGTTTATAAGAAATTGTCAAACGTATAGAAGAAAAGCTATAGCCAATGAACATAGCATGTTTTGTAGTTGGTTTACATTTATGTTTTTATTTCATAAACTAATAGTAAATCATTGGCCATTTCCCAAATCTCTGGGAATTAACAGTACTAGTTAATCCTGATTAATAATTATAAAAGGAAGTAGGAAGCGTGGAGACCATTTAGTCCAGCTGTGTTTCTCTGCAGATAAATGGGTCTGTCACAGGGGTGGGGGCCATTGCTGTTGGGCTGTGACTGTTACTGCATTGGTTTTTATTGCAGACCCCTTTTGTCCTGCCCCATCTTTAGCCATTAGTTGAAGATGCTGAGCTGTAAGCAGAGGCCAAGGACAGAAGGAGAAGCATGTGGGGGAGTGTTGTGTCAGCGTTCCTGGAGAGGTGGAGTAAATGATTTTCCCACAACAAACCGAAGAAGCAGCCTGGCCAAGCACCGGGTTTAATAGATCCACTCCAGGAGCATGGGTTCCCCTGAAAAGCCCCACCCCAGCTGGGTAACAGCTGCCCAAAGCTGCAGGAATGGAGTCCCCTTGTAGTCCATTTCCCAAGTACAGCAGCAGGACCACAGCTGGGAGAGGGGTGCAGGAGGAAACAAGTGGCTGGGGTCTCTGGTAAGGGTCTGTGATCATCCCCCCCACACACACTGCTTTCCAGGCAGGAGCATCCACCGCCCATCTTGTCAACATCTTGTTTGGAAGTCACAGCTGCTCTGATTAAAATGGTAATGGCCATGCTGGGCCCAGAAGAGTCTCCCAACAGCTGGGGATTTTCAGCTTGAAGCTGCTCCCTGAAGTGGTTTGGATTCTCTGATAGAAACTTGGTGTAGGAAGGGCTATAGCAGATCGTTTCCTGTCACTTCTGGTCTGTGCAGAACCCTAGATTTAGAATTCAAATAACGTCAACCGTATTTCAGAACGAATAACTGTCCAAACTTGTCCGAAGCAAGGGATTTGGGTTTTCAAAGGAGCAGATCTCTCCAAACCTGGGGTGGGCTTCTGTGAGTAATTTTGTCTGACCTTTTCCTAAGGACAGATGAGTGGATAAGATTCCTGAGAAGTGTTTTACTTTGGAAAAGGAGAAAGTGAAGATTAAACCAACCCCTGGAGTGGCACTTTTCAGTCTTGATTGGATCTGATCTGAAATGGTTTTTCTTTTTTCATCAGCTAATTAAAATAAGATTAAAAAAAAAAAAACACTTCTGTTGGCCTTCCTTATTTACTCCATCTTCTTCCTCCATGTCTCTTCTGAACTAAGTATTGTGGAGCGTAAGCTACAAGTCCTGGACGTATTCCCAGCGCAAAAAAGAAAAGATTCCTCTCTTGGTATTTTCTACCAGGGAAGCCTATGTGCTTTTCAGCAAAGACAGAGTGGGACGGATAGAAGCCAGTGATGGAAGGAGAATTAAATTCCCCAACAGTCCTCCGTCTATGTGAATTAAGATAGATGTGATAGAGTGGGCCACGGGACCAGAAACACGTGAAGAAGTCAGTCCTAGGGTTGGATCGACACTACAGCCCACAGCACTCGTGGGAAACACTAAAACCCGAGAGTCCTCCAGCCCCATCCTCACCCTGCGTAATTTAGCTCCCAAGTGCAGCACCACGGACTCGCTCCCCCTAAAGTTTGTTCCCCAGTCACAGGAGTGCATCCTCTCTGGTCAGGAGAAGATGGCTCCTGCTCCTGCCCCCTGCAGGTCAGTTCAGCAAAGACCTCCCTCTGAATGAAGCAAGACTTTGTACACAGGTTAATAAAAACATGCATGAGGTAGTCTGGACGGCTTCAGCACTACGGCTCTTACTGATATTTTCCACATGCTTGACTTTATTGCCAGCTGGCTCACTCTCTAAATTGGTATTAGAAGGTGTTCGTCACCATGGAAAAATCAATATGAACTATCCCATTGAAATGCCTGAGGCCTCGTGCATGCTGTAGCATCTGGGTGTGTTCCTAAGAACTCAGACGAGCCTTTGCTGGCATCCTCTGGGTCTGTTTTCTTATCTCTTAAGTTGAGGGTGTTGGAACAGTCTTGAAAGCTGCCTCTGACTCTGATGCTTTTTATTGTGAGGAGGAGCCCTCAGAGCACCTACAGGCCAGCCCTAGGCTCTTTCCCACAAGCATTCCTGGCCTCCCTCCTGTCCAAGCATCCTGTACAGTGTTGGCATTCATTTTTCCTTTGCAAGACAACAAGGAGCCCGAGATGTTCCATATTCCATTTCATTAGATCACCAGCTTTGAACAGAGTCCTTCCCTTAGATGCTGATGCTTGCTCTTGCTGATACTGTCCTGAATATATCTGGAACCTGGGAAGTATAGTTTTTTTTGTGGCCTTATGAATTCTTGTCTTCTCAAGTCTTGACCTAGATGTCCTAAACCATCATCACTCAGAGACTATGGTGGCCTTATGGTCTCCTGACTAGAATCTCTTTGGGAAACATGCTCTGAGTTCTTCTAAGGTCTGGACCCCCAGCCTTTGCTTAAGCAAAGAGCCATATCTTAGAGGAAAATGTATTTTGGTTTGGGTTGGGTTTTTGGTTTGGTGTGCGTGCCTGTGTGTAGGCGTGTTTACAGGTGTGTGGGTGTATGTGTGTTGGGGTTCGTGTATGGTGGAAGCTGGAGCTTGATGTCTGTCTTCCTCAGTCACTTTCTGCTTTAATTACTGAGGCAGGGTCTCTGGCTGAAACTAGCTAGTCTCGCTAGCCAGCTTGTTGTAGAAACCTTGTGTCTCTGCCTCTGCGCAGCTGGATTATGGGCACGTCAGTCCCCATACTCAGGCTTGTGCAGCAAGTGTTTGATCCACTGAGCCATCTCAGCCCAGGAAATGTAGAGGTTTGCTTGTTGAATTACAAAAGATCGGAGGTAGAGATTTAGCTAACTGAGCTCTGTCTTCTGTCCTATTGCCCTTCAGTTTACAGACCAGAAACAGACTCAGAGGTTAGATGACCTAGGCAAAGGCTGAGGAGTGAGTGGCCAGGCGTATGAATGAGAGAACATTCTAGGCACCTGACCCTCACCCTCAACATTACACTGCATTGCCCAGAAACTCAAACTTGCATTATGTTTTAACCTTTATTTTTATTTGTAGAGGTGTTTTGTCTGAATGTATGTCTATGCACCACATGTGGGCAATGCCTGTGGATCCAGAAGTGAGCATTGGGTCCCTTGGGACTGGAGTTAGACATAGTCTTGAGCCACCATGTAGGTCCTCTGGAAGAGCAGCCAGTGACCATTAAGGTCATTTAATGCAGAACATCTCCCCAGGCCATGTCTACCTCAAACAAAGGCTGTAAAAAAAATCTAGTTATGTTTTGTAATGGCCAAAGTTTACCCTTGGCTGTCAAGTACTCTGTTGAGTTTCCCCAAGGGAAGTTTTAGGCAGGAACCTGAGACATGTTGCCTGACTCCATTGTGTACCAGTTTTTTATCTTCAAGTGGGAAAATGCACCTCATGGGAATGTTGAGAAAATTTGAAATCCTGAGCTGGACTTCTCCAGGGCTTACAGCCATCCCCAAGAACAGGAGCTTGGTGTACAGTCGCATTAACTCTCCCGAGTTTCTAGTTGTCTGTTAGGTGAGGCTTTCACTAAATTTGATTAATACATTTTATGTTAATGTGACAGGCACATTCTAAATTTTGGCAAAGGGCCCCTAGCTTCAGCGATTGTTTGGAAACTGAGAGCCTTAAGGAACTGTTTTCATAGTCTCAAAGTTGGAAACATCCATGGCACTACTAACGAAGTGAGTTGAGGCAGAATCAAGATTAGAATGTATAAGATTTGTATATGCCAAGATTAAAACATGGTCAGTATCCTAATGCAAAGTATGAAGTAAAGGGTTTTTATAATAATGTCTTTGAAGCTGAAGGGAAGATTCCAGCATGCGGCACAGTCAGACCTAAGTTCTTACACTATTTTTTTAACTGCAGTTTTAACACTTATAAACACTTGCAGCCTGGTCCATGCTCGATGTCATTAACTTAATTAACTACTGTGGTGAATGAATATAGCTTCCCATTTTAACTGAGCTTAGAGTTGGAGGGAATAGAATGAACAGGGGGTTGGTATGTGTTACTGCGTCCTAAATATGCTCTTCACATACTACACGGATTAAACACAGCCATCATTCAGGAGCCTCTCAGTTATCACAGGTGGCCCATAAACCACCTCCATCAGCATAGGATATCCTGACACCAGCCTGTGGAGTCAAGAGTCTACAGTTCCACATAGTCTCTAAGTTGGCTGTTCATCAAGCTTGAGCAGCATTGACTGATCAGCTTTTGATTGTGTTTTCCTCCACTGGTTCCCGAGAGGATGGGTTACTTTCCTAGAGCTATGGAACTTGAGATGGCTTATTTTGTCAATGTAATGGATTGAAAGATGCCCAGGGCTAGTGATTGGCACTCCTGGGTGAGTATGAAGGGATATTTTCAAGAAATAATTGATAAGTGAGGCAGTAACTAAAGGGAAAGACACATCTTGAGATTGAACAGCACCATTGAATGACCTGGTAGCCCAGGTAGAATAAAATTTGGACAGAGCCAGAGGCATGCCCACACTCTCTGATCTGATACCATAGGAACAGCCAATTTCCCCATGTTCCTGCCACGGTGGTCTGTAAAGTTCATAGGACCAAGTAGCTATGAACTGTGAGCCTCCTGAAATCATGAGCCAAAATAAATGCTTTCTTCACCAAGTTGTGTCTGTTAGGTGGTAACCCCTCCTGGCTGAGAACAAGTGTCTGTCACTGTTCCCACTCCCACAGAGTTCTCCCGTTTCCACTTCCTCTTCCTCCTGTCTAGGTCGATTGTTCTTGCTTTGATTTTATGTCTGAAGGCAATTTTAGCAGTATCTACAGTCCTTATTGCAGTAAATGCCCTTTTGCATATTAATGTTTGGGAAGGGAAAAAATAAGACCATTAGCAATACATAATAACTTTTTTGCTAGCATTTACCCACAAAAGGGACATTCACTTTGATTTTCTTCCTTTTTATTCTAAGCAGGAAGTAGTATAAAGGAGGTTTGTTGTTGTTTTAACAAAAAAAATTAACTGAGAGTTAAACTATTGCTAATGTTCCATTTCCATCCTGAAAATCCTTTCATTATGTTCTATATACCTGATGAATTCCAGTTGTCTTAAGAATAATTTAACACTGCCAAATCTTGATACTTAAAGTCCTGGTGGGATTAAATTGACATATTTTTTTCTGATAAGCTAAGAAAAGCAGATTTAATTAATTGGCAGTCTTGCCTCTGCACTTGGCAGGTGTGTGTGCTTGCTTACTTCAGAGCTGAGATGTGTTCTCTCAGGATGTAGTGGTCCACTACATGACGCTAGGTGCATCCTGGGAAATCAAGATAAGCTGATGGGCCATTTCCCTCCTCCAGCTTCTGGCCTGCTGTGGATGGCTCAGTCCTGCTGTATTTCTCCTGGAAATGAGAAAATTATAGTGACCTGAATAGACAAGGGGCAGCGAGTCCCTTTGACTGAAAATCCATGGTACCCCGATGCTGCCTGACTCTCCAAAGTCACCTGTATTCCCTGGAATTGGGTTTCGTCTGCCGATTCCTATGGATGCCTTGTTTAGGGAGGAAACTGAAGGGGAAGGCAACTTTGCCTTTGAATCCCTGTGCACACGGCCAGCAAGCAAGGCCTGGGAGGGAATGATGTCATTACTCAAGCCTACAATTAGCCGTGATGAAGCCCAGACTTCCTCAGATGCAGGAATTCACTAATGCCACTAGTCTCATGACCAGTGGGGGAGGGGAAGAGGCAAGCAGGGGGACTTTCTTGGCAAATCAAAGAAGAGAGACACTGATGGAAGTCTGAGAGAAGAGTTGTAGGGCCTTAGCTGTCGGGTGGACATCCTGAACCCCATCCTGGGGTTCATTGCTTTGCAAAGAGTATCTGCAGAGAGCCCTTCCCTACGCACCCTCAAGAATGCTCAGCACTCACTGCAGAGGGTGGAGGCTGCGCTAAGCCAGAGTCTTCTGACGAGTCGTAGAACACACTTATCCACACTCCAGTTTCTTCCACAGGCTGCAGTTGATTAGTTAAAAACTTTGCTAGTTTGCTACTTTTGAACCTAGGTTCTGGGCCAGCCACACAAGCTGAAATTCTGGTTCTTCATTCCTGGCTGTATGATCTTGACTCTTGACTCTGTTACTAAACCTCTCTCAGCCTTGTCATCTATGAAATGATGTGGTAGTAAGGGCAGCATTGCATAGGCTCTTACCTGAATGTGCAGGATCCTGGTGGCCTGCTCTGTACAGGGATGCTCCATGTCTGTGCAATTTCCTTTTGTGACTGAAACCTCATTCTATTCAGAAGGAAATGTTGAGCTCTTGTCCAACTCTGAAAAGAAGAACAAGGCAAATAAATAACTCCACAGTTCTAGATATGACTTGCTTTTTTTGTTTTTTGTTTGTTTTGAGACAAGGGGTTATCGTGTAGCCATGGATAGCCTGTAACTTGCTATGTAGACCAGTCTGACCCATGTAGGTCTAATCTACATAGAGAGTTCTAGGCTAGCCTCAAACCAAGCGTGGTGGTACGTGCCTTTAATCCCAGCTCAGGCTGAGGCAGGTGTATCCCTGTGGATTCAAGGCCGGTCTGGTCTATCTAGAGAGTTCTGGACAACTATATAGAGCCTTTCTAAAAAACAAGTAACAAAAACTCAGGATAGCCTAGAACTGGTTGCCACCCTCTGGATTGCTCTGTACCGCCATGCCCAGCACTTTTTTCCTTTAAGAACAATCGAATCATAGTTGCTTACCTAGCTATTTCCATTGCCTTTAAAGGACTTGCAATTGAGTTACTAGAATTGTAAAATAACGCCAGCAACTTACCAGTTTATTCCGGACACAAATGTTCTTGCTATGACGACAAATGATTCAGACTCAAAGAGCCACACTTTAACCAGTTCTCTTCCCTCCTCTCCTCTCATCTGACCGGGAAGAATTCCTTGACCAGAAGTGCACCCCTTCCCAATGACTCCCAGGCACGAAGTGGGGCTCGGTTTCACACATCCTATGACAAAAGATACGTCATCAAGACCATTACCAGCGAGGACGTGGCAGAGATGCACAACATTCTCAAGAAGTACCATCAGGTAACTTCCTCTTGTCTTTATCGAATCTCGGAGCAGGTTTACATTCATGCCGAAAGTGTCACCAAAGTCGAACTTCTAAAGTATGCTCGGGCAATGTAAATAAATGAGACCGTTTGGCATAAAAGTCTCTTCTAGCCTGGTGTTCCAGAGTGACCGGCCTGGTTTCTGACCTTGATTTCTGATTTCATGAGAAGGCTTGTCCTCACTATTTACACAATAGTAATCTAAATTATTTAAAATAAATTTAATCTAATGATGCTCAGTGGTCACCATGGTAAAAATGGCTTCCCCAAAGATCTTGCAGCATTTCAGAGGATTCCCTTTGTGGCAGAGGTTAGGTGTTACCCTCTGAGTCTGTGTCTGTTTACAATGAGTCCTGTGCTGTTCTTGCTCTGACTCTTCCTGTCCAGGACCCACCCTTTGCCCAGTTGGACTATGTAGAAAATTCTCTCTCTTAGCAGTAAAAACTGGCTGTCACAGAGAGCATTCAAAGGAAAGTTCTGTGAGCCTGGCTGCATTAGATTAGGATTTACATAGAGTTTAGGCACAATTGTCAAGTGTCAGCCTCCCTTTCAAGGCAGCCCTCAGATTTGTGAGCTTTGAAATGACTTGTTTAAAGTGTTACTTTGGGTCATGCTCTGTGCCCTAATGTGGTGGATTGTTTCTCACAATTGCTATTCTTCCAGTCCTTGCAAATGTGATCGATCACATTTCACTTGCAGTGAAGCCTATAAAACCTTTGCGCTGCATTCTGTTTCTGGAACCCTGTAACTGCCTCCAATGTGTTTTCTGAAATCATTAGTCTGCCTTTAAGTTTATTTAACATCTAATACATCTTTGATAACAGCAATCGACTGAAATTTGTTCTGCCATGCTTACACTGTTGCCCATTATTAAAGAAATTTTGAAGTACCCAGGTAATCCCTGTGAGGGCAAAGACACTGGCTTTGAACCACCTGAATTCCAGCTCATCACGGTTTCATATGCTTCCCCTTTCTGGAATTGGATGTCACATGCGTGCATTCTCTTTACGCTTCTCTTGTCTTGGAACCACTCAAAGCAAAATGGTATCTTATGACTGGTGAGAATATATTCTTCTAATAGCAAATAGACCTTCTTGACAGGCCTGGGCTCAGAGTGAATCCCTCAGTGTTACAGAATCTCAGTTTGAGGTGTGTTCTAGTTCTAGCATGATAAAAACACCCTAACCAGCAGCAACTTAGAAGACAAACCCTTTCCTCCTCTAGTTCAGTACCAGTCCATTCCCAGGGAGTACTTAAGGCAGGGACTCAAAGCAGCTGGTCACATAATAGCCACAGTCAAGACTAGAGAGAAATAAAGGCATCCTTGCTGCTTGCTTACTCAGCCAGCCCCTTTCATTCTTCTGTAGTTCAGGTCCTCCTGCCTAAGGAATGGTCTCGCCCACAGTGAGCTAGGCCAATTAACAATCAAGACAATCCCCCATAGAGATGCTCACAGACCAATCTCCTTCCTCATTGAGATTCTTTCTTCCCAGTGACTTTAGGTTATGTTGAGTTGATAATAGAACTAACTAACACAAGGTGTTTTCCTGGGGGTACTTGATGGGGCCTAACACACAAGTTGAATAGATCCCCGGTGTTAGTTATGGAATCACGTTGGGCATCAAGACAGTTGCTGACACACTTCAGGATCCCTCACGGTACTAAGATTTCTTTTTGTTCCACTACTGCAAAACTAACTTTTCGGTATGCCCTTTATTCAGGAAAGTTACATTTAGCCAACATCTGTGTTTTCTTCCCATCTTAGACACTGTATGCTTTAGATAAAATTGAAAGCACCTCATCACTGAGAACCACTATTATTAATACAGTTCATTTGAACACTAAACTGGAGTCAGATGGCGTAGACCTTCGCTGGTTATGAACTGCCTGCTTATGCAGTCTGTGAGCTCAGATCTCTCATCTATGTACCATTTCATGAACTCATCCAGTTGGGCACTTACCCATGACCATGTTCCAGAAGAGATTGGAAGTCGCCTTCAGAGAAATAAAGACAAATTTAAAAAGCAAGTAGAAAGGGTGGATAAAAAGAAAAGAATCTGTTTGCAGCCTAGCCTAAAACTTACTGATCAGTTCCTCAGAGCATTTTAGGAGAACACTTGCTACCTTGAAGGCCACCACTTTGAGCTGAGCTACCTGGTAGCCAGAGGGCATTGTATTGACTAGTTGGGTGTGTCAACTTGACACAAGCTAAAGTCAGAGGGTAAGGAGCCTCAGGTGAGGAAATGCCTCCATGAGATCCAGCTATAAGGTGTTTTCTTAATCAGTGATTGATGGGGGAGGGCCCACCCATTGTGCTCCTGGGTTCTGTCAGAAAGCAGGCTGAGCAAAGCCAGGTGAAGCAAGCCAGTAAGCAACGCTCCATGGCCTCTGCATCAGCTCCTACCTCCAGGTTCCTGCTCTTCTTGAGTTCCTGTCCTTGACTTCCTTCAGCGATTGACTATGATCTGAAGTGTAAGCCAAATAAATCCTGTCCTCTCTAACTTGCTTTTTGGTCATGGTGTTTTCTTCAAAGCAGTAGAAACCCTAAGACAAGCATCCTGTGAGTCATCTGTGCAGCTGTCTGAACATTAAATCCATTGCTAAGAAGTAGAGCTGACCTTGGTACAGGATATGACAGGGTTGTTTTATAAGGAGTTACCCACAGTATGGACACAAGACCCTAAAAATGGCATCTTTTCAGCAGCAGCAGTACACACAAGAATGTCGCGAACTTTCTATAAAAGAATCACCAAGGTAGCTGTTGGAAGCACACCAACATATACATTACATTCAGTGAGCATGCTTGTGCATACTGGTCACCTTGCCCTCTACCAGTCTGGCTTCAAAAACATATCCTGCTGCCCTTTATGTCTATCACAAAGCTTCGGTGAAGATAATATGGTGGGTACCAGACCTTGATGTCACTGTATGAAACCATGTGGCCAGCATCCTATCTGTAGTTCTAGGGGTGTCTTTGCAAGGTGTCTTAGTTAGAGTTTCTATTGCAATGATGAACCAGGACCACCAGTCCAGAGAGAAACCCCACCCACAGTGTCCTGGAGCCTCTCACACCAATTACTAATTAAGAAAATGCCTGCCAGCTGGATTTTATGGGACACGTAGTAGTTTGTAATCGGCCCCCACAATCTTCATAGGGAGTAGCACTATCAGGAAGTATGGCTTTGTTGGAGTGAGTATGGCTTTCTTGGAGCAAGTGTGTCACTGTGCGGCAGGTTTTAAGGTTTCCTATGCTCAGGATACTACCCAGTGTCTCAGTTGACTTCCTGTTGCCTGCGTGTAGATGTAGAATTCTCAGCTCCAGCACCACATCTGCCTGCATGCCGCCATGCTCCCCATCATGGTAATGGAACGAACCTCTGAAACTGTAAGCAAGCCACCCTCATGAAGTGTTTTCTTTATAAGAGTTGCCGTGGTCATGGTGTCTCTTCACAGCAATAAAAACCCAAAGACAAGGCATTTTCTCAATTGAGGTTTCCTCCCTTCAGATGACTCCAGCTTGTGTCAACTTGACATAAAACTAGCCAGGACAGTTGACCCCTTGTCAGCTTGACACACAAACACAGCACTGTTAAGATACAGCCTTCCCTTTGTTCTTCCCCACGATGACACATTAGTAAACATCACAACGTAACATTTTACAATCTTTACAAGTCCCATAATTTTCACAAATTCAAACACTTTAAAATTCGGTCTCTTTGAAATTCTGAAGTCTCCTTTAAAACTTAAAGAGCTCTTTAAAAATTCTTTGTCTCAATTGTGAACTCCTATATAATAAAAAATAAATTGAATACTTTCTTACTTCAAGAGGGAAGAACCAGTGCACAGTCACAATCAAATTAGAGCAAAACCAAAACCAAACTCCAGAAGTGTGGATAACTCAGCATCCAGGGTCTGGGATTCACTCACGATCTGGGCTCCTCTGGGGATTGGGTCACTTCTCTGGCTCTGCCCTCCGCAGCACACACACAGTTTTTCTTTTTCCAACTGGCTCCACTCCACTGCTGCTACTGTTGTTGGTGGCCAGTCCATGGCGTCTCCAAAATGCTGGGGTCTTTTGCAGCAGCTGGGCTGCACTTTCACCAATGGCTTCTCACAGGTTCTCTTCATGGCGCCAAGCCTCAACTTCTTTGCATGAGCCCTTCCTTCAGTCCTGGGCCTTCAACTGCTACTGAGGCTGCATCTCCACCAATGGCCTCTCCTGGCCTCTCACAGTGCCACGCCTCAGCTGTTCTTCACGACCCCTTCATGCCTTCAAAACCAGTACCACCTGGGTGACTCTTACACTACTACCAAGTTCAGCTGCCAGCTTGAGATACAACCTCGGCTAGTTCTAGAACAGAGCTTCTGTATGTTGACCCTGAGGAAACGCTTTCCAGAAGATTTCACCTCACTGATGCTGGTCTCTTCTCAGTCACCACTAATTTCTCAGCTCCAGCTAGCCAGCATCAATTGTCCCAGTTATGCCAAGATTTCACTTCACGGTTGCCGGGCTCTTGTTAACCACGGCTAATTAATTCTTCAGCACTAGTTAACCAGACCTCAGCATCTTAATTCAGAATAACCAATGGCCCCGTTAGAGTCTTTAAACTTCCCTCTGAACTTCACAAGCTGGGCCTCCATTGTTTGAACTGCTCTCAAAGTTCTTACCTTCCAAGCTCCTACAGGCCAGCTCACTGAGCTCCCAACATTCAAATTTTTTTTTAGCCCAAAGTTCCAAAATCCTTCTACAAAGCAACATGATCAGGTCCATCACAGCAATACCCCACTGCCTCGTACCAGCTTCTTTTAGTTAGGATTTCTGTTGCTGGATGAAACACCGTAACCAAAGAAACCTGAGGAAGAAAGGGATTATTTGGTTCACACTTCCACAGCGC